AACCCAAAACAAAGCAAATCAATGGTACAGATTAGGCATTGCTCTCTGACACCTCGGGAAGACAAAATGATGTTGCCATCTTTCGCACGTGTGAAGCCTTGAAGAACGAGGTAGCGCTTCTAACAACCCATTTCGGAGACGGTGCGGACATTGACTCGGATGGTTTAGCCCAGAAAGCTGGTCCAACCCAAGCCATTCGACCCCGACGACATGCTCAACTACAGCCAACTTCATGTTCCTCAGTCAAGGACCAAAGTACTCTTTCGTGCTACACCTCGGCTGAGCACTTAACTCGTCAAGTTTGAATATGGGGGAGTGGTGTTTGGGTTATGGTTGAGCTGGCGCTGGATGCCATGTGTCGCCTATGTGGCCACCCCATCTCTTCGGCCATGTCAGCACTGTGTCACCTCCACGGCCCAGCCTATCTTTTCAGCCACATCGACACAACATCATGTGGATTAGCATGACTAAGACAGGAGAGTGGATAGGGACAACCCTGCTGGAGATTAGGTCTTATCCCAAAACCTCGGAGGTTGAACTCATCCTGACAACCCTAGTAGCCTCATCCGACCAGGACACGAATCCTTGGCTATAAAAAGGTACCTCCCACTCAAGGTAAGGGATCGAATTTCAGACTTCATACCATTACTCTGCTCGAACCAACACTATTCTCCAACTACTTGGACCGACCCCCACATTCTTCAACTAACTTGAGCATCGGAGTATCTACCTAGGGATAACTCCTTGTGCCTCTTACTTGTTTCTTGTTCGCAGATCTTGGTGTGCAACTCCGTCCTTCCACCTAGGCTCTGCCTAGTTGGCAAGGATTATCTGACTGTGACCTCGGTTCTTGCACTACCTAGGATTGAGCAACATAAAAAATCATCCTCAAGCCATTATTGGAGCTTGTCATTGAAACAGAGCCAAAATGCTATCCGCCTCGCACCTTTGCTCAACACATTCTTCACAAAGCTATTTCGTAAGACCCAAGAAGGGGCCCTTCTTACTAAATGAGTGTATCGTGATTGAGCGTTGGATTACTCGTGGTAATTTATTCGTTTATTTTGACTTCTGCTTGTCCCTTTATTTCCTCCCTACCTACTCCTCTATCATTCTTGTTCAGTTTTCTATTTGGTTGATTATCTCTTAGGGGGCGTTCTTTTTGAACCTAGATTTCCTACTCACTTTTCCTACCCACTCTCTACTGGCCGTGAATTGCAGCCACACATCTCTCAATTCATAATAGAGGTGTGTGGATGCAATTTACCGCAGGTAGAGAGTGGGTAGGAAAATAGGAAATACCATTTAGTTCTTTTTTTGGATTTGGAGCAAGGGAAAGTTGGTCAATGGGATTTTGGTTCCCATTGACCAAGAATCCCATGTTCTTTTTTCAGCTTTATGTGGGGACTAGGGAAAGTTTATTTTCCTAGGTATCACTTACCCAGGAAAGTGATACCCATGTCCTAGGTGGGTAAATAACTCTCCCACATAGGGGGAAAGTTGCTAACACTTGAATGGTACAAAAATGCCCCTTTAATAATGGATTTCTATGGCTAAAATGGTCATTGCCTTATTTACTTGAGAAATAAAAGAACATGGGTAAATGCACTTTCTTGGGTAAGTGTTTCCCAGTAAAAACTTACCCAGGTAATTGCATTTACCCGTGTAAGTAACTTATCGAAAAGCGAATGGGGCCTTAGAGGAAAAAATTAAAACGGATAAAAAATTTGACTATTGGTTTTGATTGTAGCGAATGTTTGATAAAGAAAATTAGATGTTACTTGAAGGACATTTGTGTCTTTTCACATGCCACTTAACAGTTGGTTAACGATTAGGTACTAGATTGTTGCGTTTTGAAAGTTCAGTACTAGATTGCCACATTTTAAAGTTCAATGACCAAATTGTCACTCGAGCTAAAGTAAAGGGTACTAATCGGGAATTTTTCCAAATCAATATTGGTATCAGATACTACCATTTTCTCAAAATATAACAGTTATGTGGTGTGGCATGTGAGTGGATTATGACAGATTGTGACGGAATCCTAATGACAGAGGAGTAATTAGTAATTATCAAAAAACTTGGGGATACTTTAAGAAAGTAAATAAACAATAAGGATAGAGTTAGTCAATTAGCTAAACCATAAGGGTAGTTTAAGAAATTTGTCATAAAATTAAATTCAAAAAAAGAAAATAAAAAATATAAATATAAATATAATTAGGGGGATTCTCTTGTGATGTTTTTTTATCCGTTTTGCTTTATTTCTTATTAATATGCTCTTAGTTAATTAAATAGTTATTTTTTTTATGCTTGTGCTTGCATGGAACCCCATGTTGATGGCACCTATTGGACTCGGGAAAGGTGTCCTCTCCCATCCGAGTCTTATCTAGATTGGTTCATCTAGTGTCTTGGGTTTGGAGTCACTATCAAACAAAAAAAAAAAAAATTAAGAGTTACAATTTGAGGCCAAAAAAGGGTTTTTTTTTTCCACGAAAATAGTAGGGCATGATGCCTTAGAACACATAGATATCGAAAAGTTACTCAAAAAAAAAGATTACCTTAATCTAACATCGGAGCACAAAGCTATGGCCTTTGAAGTTTTCATACATCTTTTGACTTGGTCAATGTTTTTTTATAAAATTTTGGGTTTCACTAAAACCAAACCTAGAGTCATGGCCGGGTGATGATTCAAACTATTCAACCGGCCTAGTCAAAGATGGGTTGAAAACACTACTCCTAGGTGGATAACTTTCCTACTTGGATGAGACAAAATTGCCCCCTTTTAATAATGGCTTTTTATGGCTAAAATGGCCATTGTCTTATTTATTTGGAAAATAAAAGAACATGGGTACGTAACTTCCCAAAAAGTGAAGAAGGCCTTAATGATTTCGTTGTGCTTGGTACTATTGATGTTTCAACCTGAAATGTTTTGGGTTGAATCACTTTCATCTTGAAGAGTTCACATCTGCACCCCACAAGGGAACGCCCCACAATGCCCCACAGCACATCCCCACCTTGTATTGGGAACATCTCCCGATAACAAGTACTGGAGATGATGAGACATCACTAGAAGATGTTCCCAATACAAGGTGGGGATGTGCTGTGGGGCATTGTGGGGCACAGATGTGAACTCCATATTGAAACCCAAATACCCCTCCCCACATGGATTTCCATGCAAAGTGTATTGTGGCTGTTTTGACTCAAAATGATCTCAAACCAAAAGCCAAACAGGCAGCGGCATAGTGAGGAACTTTTTCTAATGGGGTCATAGAATAACTTAAAAAATAACAATACATAGAGGGAAAACATGATTTGAGAGGTTTTTCTCCTTTCTTTGTCTTCTTCTAATTGTCTTTTAGTTCCCTGTAATGATCGAAATACCCTCTACTTCGTTTGTTCATTTGGCATTTCAATATGTCAATTTTTTTGACATTTTCAAATGCGTAAGTCATAGCTCAATTAGTCTAATAGTTAAAATAAAATGTCCAAATTGACCCCATCCTCTCTTATTTTTTCCTTTTAGCCCTACTGAAGATGTTAAAACACCCATAGTGTCAAATTGCATACCTAAAAGCTTAAGCTGTTAGGTGAGGTTCCTAGATAGGTTTTCATTCTCTAACATGCCCCCTCACATGAAAGCCTATTGGGATTGAAGTGTGGAGCTGTATACAAACATAAGCCCACCAATACCTTATGTTAAAATTTAATTAATTATAATGGGCAACAAGAATGGAACACTAGAACACATTTGGTCAAACAGGCTATCATCTCAAGGAACCATGCAGCCTAAAAGCTTAAGCTGTTGGTGAGGTTCCTGAATAGGTTTTTATTCTTTAACATTCACTCTTTTCTGTGGATGTAGAGGTTCATTCATCAAAACCTCCAAGAAAGCAATGCCTTACTCCAGACATTGACAATCAGTCCACTGCAATAATGGCAAGAAATCCCCAAGATTTGTCATGCCAATCACTTTGAAAAAAACTAACTTCTTTGCCTCACTCTCCAGTGATGATCAAATTCAAATTGGTTCGAAGAGTTCCACTGCAGTTTGGGGTAGCGCTAGGTACAACTGCCCAAACTGCTGAATTGCTTTGGATGCCCTGATCATGCAAGCAGTCCAGTTCCCAGGTTCAATCTGATTTGGAACACAGATTAAACCAACATATTGCATTCCAATATGTTTGAGCAAGTGAGCAACTGAATCTGAACTAGATTGAAAGATGAAATTTCAGAGGAGATACCTTCTGATAAATGGATCAGATGGCCATGCCATCACCACATTCATCTTCTAAGAATGCTTTTAAGTTTCAGTAGTTTGATAAAATGAGCAATTCCGAATAACAGATTGCTAATTTCATAAACAACTGTAACAATGCTGAGACACTTTTCATCCACCTTCAAGTAAAGGAGAGAACTGACCATTTCTTCAATGAAACCATCTATGGTCTATTTACAGTTTCATTTTTCAAAACCCTTAAAATTCAGGAAAAACCTCAAAGGAATAGGTTTTGTGCAGCACACTGACTCTATTGTGGAGGAGATTCTGGAGTCAACTGATTCCCTCACATTGAACCTCTAAACCATTCATGTCCCAAATAGGCCAACTGAAATGTTGACAACTGAAGCAGCATAATTGGCTTTGGGAGTTTTTCTATCAGTAATAGATAGAAGTTATGATTGCCAACATATAAAGGGGGCAAAGTGATTGTATTTACAAGATTACAGTAATGCAAACTCAAAGCTTCTATTGAGCCTTTGCTCCTGCAATGCCATTACAGCTAATGCCATTCTCATATTCCAGTTGACAACATAAACAGATGTAAACTTGGGTTTATCAATTCTATGGTCCCATTAACCATGAATATGACAGGGCTCACCAGTACCAAATGGTTGAAAAGTACTAGTTATTTATTGCACCAGCTCTCAGTCCCTGGCCTTTGAGACTCTTACAAGGCATTAGGCACACACCAGGTACTCTTTTGAGATTCCTTTGGGTAGTGCTGTTGTAATTTGTGGGTATCAACTATCAACCCACGCTTTCATACTATCCAAGAATAACAAGTATCCTTCATGGAAGTTTAGAATACTATATCTTTTGAAACAATATCCTGGTTCAAAGAAAGAATATACAGAAAAAAGGCTATCATGGCCACTTATGGAAGTACGATTAATCATCATTAAAAAAGATTAGGTTCTCTAAATTATTTCTGGACTCTCAAATCTTAAATAAGCTCTCCCAATGACATCAGGCTCTTGAAAAGATAAACCTTAATCATACTGTAGGATTATGTTGGCCTGTTGTTGAAATTCAAGAATGTTTATAACCTGGCTGAAGGCAGAGGAGGGAGAGGACGAGGATGGTCCCATTCAGTCACAATGTGGTCACGGGTTATCTCCTTGAGTGAGCGGCAACCACTTAATGCCATAGTCAGCTCAAATTCATCACGAAGCATTTGGAGCACCTTCCTAACACCAGCTTCACCTTCAGAAGCCAAAGAGAATACCACAGGCCTTCCAATCTGAGATCGAGACCAAGGTCAGATTGGCTAAATATATAGACAGTAAAGTAAATGGGGCTTCACTACCATGATCCTGTGGATTATTTACTTACAAATATGCCAGAAGCTCCAAGGGCTAGTGCCTTGAAAACATCTGTTCCACGCCGGACTCCACCATCCAGGAAAACAGGAACTTGGCCTTGTGCAGCTTTAACAACCTAAAGTTAGTTCAACAGAATCTCTTATGTCAACACCATGTCATATAATCTCAAATAAATGAAAGGTATAATTAAGGAACTATACCTCTTCTAGAGCCATGATAGTAGCAGGGACATAATCAAGTTGACGAGCTCCATGGTTTGAGACAATTATTCCTGCTGCTCCAGCTTGTATGGCCAACCGTGCTGCATAGTCAACATACAAGAGGGTTTATTTATAAAGCATTGCTGGAGAGTCCACAATAAAATTAGAAAAGAGAGGACTTTCAAATCTATTACTCACCATCCTCAGCAGTGAGTACACCCTTCACTAGAATTGGCAATTTGGTGATTGTCTGAAGCCACTTCACATCCTGTCAAAATCCATCATAAAAGTTTCAGAAGAGTACACTTTTATAATTCAAGGAATAGTTGTGTCCATCTCTTCATTATTGAACTATGATAATGATATTCTCAAATTTGAAGAAAAACACAATTACTGAAGTTTCACTAACATACCTTCCAGCTTAGAGATCGGTCAATTTGTCCAGCAACGTATGAGGCAAGTCCAGAATCATTTGTCTGTATTTGGCCCCAGAAACAGAATCATGAAGGATAATATTAGTTAAGGGGCATAATGAACCATGAGAGTGTTTGTTGCTCACCTCGTCCATCTTTCCAAGGTCCAACCCCTCAAAATTCTTCAATGTCAAGAATGGTGGCAAAGTAAATCTATAGAGCAGTCAATTAAAAGGAATTCAGATTCTTAAGAAACAGCAGAGTAAATATACAACAAGATTTTTCTGCATACAGACTGTCAAAAACCTTAGGACTCAAAACTCTCGTAGGTTGAGTTTACCCTGTAAAGTTAATAAATAACCCAACCTAATCATGTAATTGTCTTAACAAACAAAATTTCAGACCCACCTGTTCTTGATGTCAGCTTCTCTGCGACCCAATCGTGGAGTATCAACAGTGAGGGCAATTGCCTTGAAGCCAGCTCTTTCTGCTCTTCTCACAAGCTGAGCAACTACATTCCTGTCTTTGTTTACCTGAACAATTTTCAGGATAGTCATTTACCTGATTGAGAACCAAAAATGGAAAAAACACTTAAAGAACCAGATCAACAAAAAATAATTAACAAAAGGAAAATAAGGAAGCCTACATAGAGCTGGAAAAAGCGAATGCCAGGTCCTGTTGAAGCAACCTCTTCAACGCTAGAAGTAGCCCATGATGACAACGTCTGGAATAACAATCATGCATAAACAGAGTGACAAATGTATACTAGTTATGTAACATCCATGAAGCCAATAGAAAGAATGTTTGTTCTGCATATAAATTCAGAACTGTGTAAGTATAGGGAGCTTATAATAAAATATACATATATATTTATTTACTTATGAACAACAAATGGTTTGTTGTGGAAAGGAATTTTGTTTATATTCGCTTAGCTTATCATCACTAATCACATCAGGATCCTATATAGGAGAACATGAGTAATCAAATCAAACATATAAAATTTCCAACAGGATGGATTCCTTTACCTACATTGCTCATAAGCTATTGTTATTTAGTTTGAACAATCCGCACTCAGACAAATGTTGATTTGGGGTTAATGGGTTGATGCTTGTAAGAACATAATTAACTAACAAATTGAAATGAAACATAAAGGATGAGAAAGCAAACCATGATAGTGCCAGCGGCTGATGCTGCTCTTGCTGTTGCATACTCTCCTGCATAAAGATTATATTTTGGGGTCAGACATGTTTCTCTTCTTTCTTAGGAGAAATAATTATGGTTAAAATTTTAATTAATAACTTGAAGAGCTTCCTTTGCAGCTTGACTAGCTTATAAGTTTTAGAAAAACTACAGTCCTTGAAACTCCTGAAAAAAGAAGTTTTCCATGACTAGGTAGTCAGTCTTAGACTCTTAGAGCACAAAAGCACAACCAAAGAAACAAATATCTTAATTAATTTCCAACTCCATTGAGCTAATAAACTAATGTTTAGAATCGTTCAGGTGTTTGAAATGTGTTAAGCCTAGTAGAATTTCTAACTGAAAATATACCTAGAAGCTCAATTAGTAAGAAGGAAAGTTCCTGTATCAACTCAATTAGATAGTTGATTATGGTGCACATGAGCAACCCAAATTTCTTAAAACTCAATACAGAAAAAACACCTTTTCATAAAGGAATAGGATTAAACAAATTATTCAAAAACATCGCTTCACTAAATATCAAGTGGTCAACCAAGTTTGGAGTGAACTTGTTCAGATTACCTCATTCAAGATTACCGAGATATGGTTCAACAATACATTTCCAGAACTGAACAATGCATTAAAAAATACCCTGTAATGACTTGATATGACTCAAATAACCCTAAAATAGTATCATTCAAGTACATGAATAAGTTTCAAATTTTGTTTATATTAGATATTTCTGAGTTTTACTCAAGCATGAAAAACGGGCATGTGTACAGAAACAGGGGATTACCCTCAGGGTGAGCCATTTTTTGCATGGCAGTGGGAGCAATCATGATGGGCATTGATATCTTGAATCCCAAGACAGTGGTGCTCATGTCTATCTTGCTTACATCGATAAGAATACGAGGACGAAACCTATTTGTACAAACAAACAGGGATATTAGTAGAATCACCAACATGAACTCCACCACATTTTCACCCAAAGAAAAAACTACACAAATTTGCTTAAAGGGAAAGCTCATTGGAAGAGAAAATCTTGGCTCAAAAGTAGAACAAATGGGACCAATGTCAGAAGAAAGCAAGTAAGCATACAATCAAAATAAGAAACTGAAAATCTCTTTTTTGGCTTTTCCACAAGAAGTGCTTTGAGCATAGAGGAATTCGCAAACACTAGGATTTTGGGAATGTAACCAATTGCCAAAGTTGGATTCTTGATGACCATAAAGGAATAAACTAATAAAGTAAGCTTACAGAATCCTTGAGAATGCATTTCTGTTTTCCTGAAGAGTCCATTGGTCCTCTGCACCTGATGCATAGTAGTCATACACCATCTTTGGCAGTTTCTGCTTTGCAATGGCCTCATATTCCATAACATTGGTTATCTCCATCTTTACAAATGAAGAATTTTTCTCCCTTGAACCACCCAAAATCAATATAAGAGAGATTCAATAAAAGTATATTTTTTGCACAAACCTACAAAAACTGATTGCAACTAAGTTCTGGTTTACTATCATGTAAAGAATTAGTTCTTGAGCCCAAAGAAACAGAAACAGGAAAAGAAAATAAATTTTTTACAGGCAATAAGATGATATATAGATAGTATTAAAGTTAATCATTCATTATTTGAAACTAAAGTATACAGTCACATCAAAATCTGGGTAACCAAAGAGACAGGAATCCACCGAGATAAGTAAGAAATAGCTAAAGCAGAAAATAAAATCCCTAAAAAAATATATCATTCAAAAACTCAAGTAAAACCAAAGAGAATGTAACATGTTGGAGTTTTATTTGTTTGTGATTCAAATCAAATTTAGTTTTCCCCCAGTTTTTTATTTTCCAACATAACATGTAGAAAAATACTAAGATCAGTCACTGTAAGACCAATTTAGAGAGTAAAGATAGGTAGATGGACAAATTCATCTGAATCTCAGAAGATTAAACAGACTTGAGTGTAAAACCTTTTATTAGAATCTATTGATAAGGGATGCTGGGCCACAGGTTACTTAAAAGGCAGCTTGCAGAAAAAGCAAAGGAGCTTAAGACTGACTCACACTAAAAAAGACACAAAAAACCGCATACTATTCTATACAGAAGATCTTCACATTCCCAGCAAGAAAATAGGAATACTGAATCAGAGGTCACATTATAAAAGGATTTCACTTGAAACACTGAAACGCTAGTCCTAGAGAAAGTTTTGTTAAGATTCAAACCTTGCCAGTACCAACCAAAAAAATAAAACAGCTCAAATTCATGATCCCAGTGAAAGAGTAAGACTGAATTTCAAGGAAAATCCTAGTAACTTGCAAATATCACCACTAAACAGCTTGCAATCAAATTCCCGGAGCAAAAAGAAAAAGAAAAAAAAAAAAAAAAAACAACAGAACCTGATATTCAAATTCTATTTAAATCCAAGTTCCTGAAAGAAGCGACAAGCTAAATCCCATATAAACCCCACTTGATAAAAACACAACTGACAGTATGTAGTCTGATCCATGTAAGTACCCAATAACGGGAGTACACAGCTGAGGTCGAAATCAAGCGAAAAAGTCACGTCCCTACTCCATACAAGAAAATATAAACTCAAGCACTCAGGATTTATCAAATTTCCACAAGACCCATATACAGAAAACACAATAGACAATCTGAAATGGAAAGTTTCTGATAATCAAACACCTACTTAACAAACAAGCTGGAATCACAACAGTTCAAACAGTAGAGAGGAGCAGAGCTGACCTTGGCTTCTTCGACTAAGCAGGAAAATGCATGAAAGAAACCAAGAGAAGAGGTGTAGATAATATTGAAGTGAGAACGAAGAGAGGAATTAAAATAGTGCAAACAAATGTAATGGGTAAAATAAAAAAACAGCACAAGAAGACAAAGGGGTTGAGATCATGGAGGGAAATTTACAGCTTTGTGGATCAGTTTTTCAAGGTGTGCATTTGATTCCGCATCCTATCATGCCAATGGGTCTTCTCATCCACATACGTATTCGTGTGTTCGAGAGCATTAGTTAATTATCAAACCAATCCAAGAAAATTAAAAAATCGAGAAAATTGAAAATAAGATACGTCTCTCTCTCTCTCTCTCTGAGCTACATCAGCCGAATAATTAGATGGGGTAGTGAAGTCTGGTCTTAACTTCAATTATCTCACACAAAAAATTCAAAATTGGCTGGTATTTTATGGAGAGAGAGAGAGAGAGGGGCAGTTCATAGTTCAAAGGACTGTTACGATTCCTTAGCAACGACTCTCTCCAGGATCTTGTGACGATCAGATGTGCTTTTGTGTGCTGTGGGTGATCGTGTTGGTGTTGGTGCATATCCCTTCTCTGGACGATTGTGTGCTAGTATAAACGTGGCAAATCCTGATCGCAGAGTTCAAATCGTCTACTATTTCCTAGTACCACTGGCCATCAAGAAACACCACGTCAGCTACCTACGACGGGACCCACGCATCAGGCCGACGATTTCCATTGTCATCCGTGCCACCATGCCTATTGATTATTGAATAATAATAGCCATTGAATTTCAAATAGCTTTTATCTTCTAAATAAGGACAAAAAATCGTCGTGCCACGTGGCTTGGTTATTGAAATGAAAGCCTGAAACTTTGTCGCACTCCAACAACAAAAATAGAGGTTGTTTTGCACATGGCAGGGTTTTATTGGATAAAAGATGTGGGCCATCCGGCCAGGAACCGTTTCGCTAGCGTAGACGAGCCCTCTGGACTGAAGGAAGAAGACTCGAGTGGAGGCGACCCGTTTAGGAAATCCACTCCATTTTCCGGCGTCCGCTTGTGACGTTCTTGTATTGACCATGGACTCAACTGTAAACCGATGATTGTGATTGAGCAACTTGGCAATTTTTTAACCGTCCAATTGCAAACCTTTGATCTATCACGGGTAGTAACTTTATATGGAATCACACGTGGACGTGTGATATTTCAAGGGAGAATATTCCTATGCACTGTTGTTGGGTCATCAGATTGGAATCCAGAGACATCCCCACCGTCCATGTCTTGCCTCTTGCAGGATTCCGTCAGATTCGTAGCTGATATAAAAGCCGTCTTTTTATATATATAAGTCCAGTTCTTTTTTGGTCCGGTTCCAGCGAATACCACGGTAATGCAATAATCTTTCTTGTGGGCTACCTACTCTGGTTCACGACTAAATTTTGTTTCATTGAACGTGTAGTTTCGTCTTAGGTAAGTCTTGGACGAATGTTAATCACAATATTAAAAAGAGTAAGCTTTGGAAATTTGTCTTTGGCACTTTGTGACTGATGGATACGAGTTTTGATTGAGTTTTGTTGCAAGAATTAAGAAGGCAATTTTTCCTCTGGATGGCAGGAAACTCACGAGTTGTCATTTTGTGCTTTCTTGAGGACTGGGGATGGATTGGCGTTGTCCTAATAGAACAGCCAATTGGGGTTATTCTTGAGCTGACCCTTCCACCTGCCCAAACTAGAACTCTTGTCCTTTTCTGATTGGATCAGCATATCTAGGGGTTGGGACATGGGTCGGGCTGGCTTAAACCAACTTGGTCCAGTCTGAAATGGGGCCCATTTTTTAGCATGGGTTGGCTTTGGGTAGACCATGGGCCAATAAAAAGCGCAACCAAACCCACCCAAAGCCAAATTTCTACATGCAATGCAATCATGTATATCATGTATTGCTTTCTGATGTTTTCATGAATTCATGTGAAGTGAAATCCGCAGTATTCTGTCATTAACATAAAATTGTAATCGTATGATATAAAAACTTGTTCTGCAAAACTAGATTCAGATAGTGTGACTTGAAACAGCTTTAGGCCAGAGCTCTTTATTTATAGTCTATACCTATTAATATTTAAGGTCTGTTTGGTTTACTTTCGGGATTGGAATTGAACCCTTCGAATCAGAACCAGAATGGTTTAGTCCTATAACTTGTTTGGTTTAGACAGGAATTAGAATAAGCTGAAATGCTACGAGAGTTAAGTTGTGCAACCTTTTAAGGTTGGGAATAGGACCTTTATATAGGTGTTGTTTGGCATAGGATTCACACACCGCATCCGAGATTTATAGGAAGACGTAGCTGGTCAGTCTGTAGACCAGGCTTTGTGCCGTATCCGGTTTCATCCAAAACATCCGATGCAGGAACTGACTTCCGAAAGACCCAGGAGTGACGAAATGCACACACGAAGGAGGTCGACGACCATGTCTCGCGGGTCGCCACTTGGACCTTAGTCGAGTCAACAAGTCCTCGAGGGAGGTTGCTCTTGCGTTGATGTCCCTTTGACAGGTAACATTGAGGAGGTACCATAGGTCGGCCCTAGACGAGGTGCTCCTAGCCGCCCTGTCGAGGTGCCCAAGTTGTGTATGAGGTCGCCAACTGGGAGCCTAAGACCCCATCAGGTCGGTGGAGGTAGGTTGCCAGCTGTGTTTCTAGTAGGTCAATAGCTGGGTTTCCATCACTTTGGTTAAGACAAGTCATCGCCCTTGTGGTGTCAAGGTGTCATCTAGCTGTTCTAAGATGCCATGTGTCATGATGTCAGAGGAGGGACAAATCTGCCCTCATCAATTGCTCCCCACTCCCGAGACGAGGTTGGTTTGGTGAAGGGAGTAGCTCGCTGTAAAATTTTAGTCCGGAGCGATTGGCTTGATGAGCTCGTAGGCGTTGGTCCAATTTGCTCCCCAGGTTAGAAGAGTCTAAGGGTTGAATGCAGCCTTACGTAGGACTTCGCTGTTTTGATTATCGGGGCACAGGAGCGAACTCATCCGCTCGAGGAGAGGCGGAGTAGGCACCCCAAGGACATCTACCTTACTAGGGATGCAACTGTCAAGGAGTTCTACAATTCGACCAAATACCTCAAGAGCGAAGTTCGTCATGACTTCCTCAAGAGGGGCTTCCAACTGCATGACTGCCTTGTTAGGTCACTCCACTTACATAGACTACAACAATGTCCCTCAAGTTGGTTATCGAAGGAGTAGTTGACAAGGTCGATGTAGAGCCTGAAACTAGGTGAAGGACAACTGTGAAGAAATTGGCCAAGTTTGTATGTTTGCCGTGGTGCTGAAAGTGAACTAGTCTTCTTTTCCTCCATTTTTCTTTCCTTTTTTTATCAGGTTGGCGGTGATATGCCGACGTCCTTTGAGATCAGTTTAAGTGTAGTAGTAGCAGTCAAAACACAACCGAGCTAGATAGATGGGGGGCCGACCTACTTAGATCGGTCTACCTGTTGCTGATGTGTTTCGAGATTGGCTTGAGGGACCTTAGCTAAAAAGTGGGGTGGCTTCTCCTTAAAATTCAGTTTGACCAAGTCACTAAAGCGGATGGTCATAATTTCGACCATCAAAATAGCGTCGAGCTTTCGAGCTACCGATGTATCTCAAGGTTGGCATAGGGGCCTTAATTAAAAGTAGTTTGGCTTTCCCTTAGAATTTGATTTGACTAGGTCGCCAAAGTAGATGGTCATTCTGTAGTAGCTTTAAACGTAGATTCATCTATGACATCACGTGGGATTGATTCTCCTAGGTCTATGTTCGCGGGTCAATGCCGCACATGTACTGCACCTGCTCCTGGAATTGCTGGCTACCCACTCCTACTGGAGCCATGGGGGGATCACCTTGAGGGGGTGGCTCTACTGTCTGTAGGTCGCCTACTCTCACAGGAATCATGAAAGGTTCAACCTGTGAGACCGGTTCCACATTCAACTGGTTGCCAACTCTCACGGAAGCCATGAAGGGATCAATTAGTAGTGAGGCTTTGCAGTTGGGTTGGGAGGCAATCTGGTCCAAACTTCTGAAGCTCGCCTAGGCTGGTCGTATAGTTCCTGCCCCTCTTATGATAGCATTGTTGATACGTGCATCACTATTGGCACTTGAACGACGGATTAGTGCCATTTCTACACTACATCAACCCTCTAAAACGCTGGTCGTTTCTCCTATGATAAGCCGCAGGGAGCTCAATTTGCGGGGGCCATCTCTACTAACTGTAGGTCGCCAACTCGCACAAGAGCCTTGAAAGGCTCGACCTGCAAGGACAACCGCAGAGTCCATTGGCCACCATTTCTCATAGGAACTGCGGAGGGCTCAACCGATAGAGGCACCTCGCAAATAGAGTTGACGAGGCTTGTCCGGGCTGATTACCGTTGAGTGTAAGTTTAAAATGAGTTGAGAACCTGGATTTTAAGTGCAAATTTAAAATGAGTTGAGGTTAGTAGGGTGGCTCCATAGTCTGTTGGTCATCAACTCCCACTAGAACAATGGAGGGCTTGACCTACGAGGGCAGCTCCACAGTCTATTCGCTGTCAACTCTTATGGGAACCATGGAGGGCTTGACCTATGGGGGTGGCCTCACAACTTGTTGGTTGTCAACTCTCACGGGAACCATAGAGGGCTCAACTTGTGGGGACGGCCTCACAATTAGGGATAGGAGAGATTCAATTCGGGCGAGACTATTGGGACATGTTCGGGCTGATCATTCTGATTCTGCCCCCCTGCGGGGGATCCTTTGATCCATGCGTTGTTGTTGCTTGAGAATGCCATTACTTGAGGCTTAGAACACGAGTGACAACTTTGGTGTAGCATATTCCATAGACGACACCAATTAATGATGCACAATCTGGCAACTCCCTACGGGAGGACAGTTCGAATGTTGAGTTGGCGAGTTCCCTATTAGAAAGTGTTACAGTACTCAGGTTTCTTTACCCGAGGTTGGCACTTCGATACTTAAGTCAGTGATGTGGAGATTTTGGCGAGAGATAAAATGCTAGAGAGCTAGAGAGCTGCAATAGTTAAGTTACGCATGAAGGGATGAGAGATCCATCATATGGATAGCCGAACCCTACAGGAAGGTAGGGCGAAATTTCAAAAATTTCTCTCTCTCCCATGTGGGAATCACATTCCCTGTTTTAGAAAATCTGCATTTTCAAGGATCAAACTTGAACCAAGAACCAGACCAGATCTGAAACCAAAAGGTAGGAGAAGGATATACCTAATACAGAGTAGTAGTAACTCCCAATGAAGGTGTTCACGCCCAAAGAAATCTCCAAAGACTGCTCTCACTGAAGATGACACAGTGTAGGGTGGAGCAGAATCAGTAGTGTTCTTCCCAAGAACCGAACCCTTCAGCAAGAATTTGATGGAGGCTGTGAGCACGACTTCAGATAATCTTTTCTCCAAAGATTGATATCAAGAACTATTCTTGATCACT